ACACCTTCGTCTTGTTGTCAGGTAGATTTAGTTAAACGCATCTTGTCCATAGTACTCTGCTCTAGTAGTTATCATAAGTCCCTTCATCAGACCGTAGACATGATACATTCTCAGACTTTTCGCCGGCATCGTATTCGGCAACACCAGTGAGTCTTGCTATTCTCCGCACCAAGCTACAAACTGATGATGCCGGCAAAATGTCTGAGAATATACAAAGTCCACGGTCTGATGCTGAGAGTTAGGATAACTATTATGGCATAGGACTTCGGCGAAGATGCGTTCAGCTAAGTCTCCCTGACAACAAGACCAAGTTGCGAAAACAAAATTAACCCATTTCTATAAGTCGAAAGAAGTCTTCGAGCATACCGCAGGTCACACCATCTTGGTCTTCAAATCTTCGACTAAGCAAATAAAGGTATGAAGACCAAGATGGTGTGGCCTTTTGTATGGTCGCGGTAATTGTTTGACATTATTTTCGCAATGAGGTCGTATTGGCGGGACGATCTAGAGGAACGTACCAAGTCCGGAGTCCATAGTATGCGTGGTAATTTCCAGAGTCGAAACGTAGATTTCCCAGACGTACATTCCTAGACGCTACGCCGGCATCGTCAGTGAGCATTACCATTCTAAGCACCACACTACAACTCGTAAAAGAGACAAACGAAGTCGACGCTTTGGCAAATTGGCAACTAAGCAGTTGTGATATTTCTTCTTCTGCCTCAGACTATTCACCTATTCTATATCCTCGTACCAATTCTTCGCTATCACAATTTTTAAGTGCTTATTCAAATGTTGTATGATGTCCTTTTGATAGGATTTCATGAAAGCTCTTCACACCCCAGCCCCTGCCATTTTGCTGTAACGTTGATCTGAGTCTACCATATTATTCTGCAAACCTCTCCCCATAGGTCCTATCAGAGTCTCCCTCTTGCCTCGTAGGATCCAGCTTCTATCTCTCTGGTTCAGTTATTCGACTTGACCCCTGCCACCGTATCTGTGCTGTTCGAGGTGTTATTTCCCAAACTCTAAATAAAGCCTTTGATGGCACGTATACTCCTGCTTCGCTGAATAGGCCTACAAAGTCTGGATTCTCAAGTTGGTTGAAAGACTAACTTGAAGCTTTTGATCCCGAGTGATTCTCCTCTTCAAGTCTTTGCTTCATGGACCACGTCTATGATCAAACACGTCTACTATTAGCCAAGAAGCTCGAGTCTCCGTCACAACTATCGTGCCCATTCTATGACTTCATATGTCCTAGTCTCTTGTATGCCAACGCACAAGTGATGTGATCATATTTATTTTGATTAGGCTCACTAAAGACGTCTACTCTTGATTTCCGATTGTTCCTTTCTGGTCTACTTGCTATTTATTCTACCAAAATTAAAGATGCTTACTTGATCCAGTCGTCTTCTACGTATTTACCTCATTTTGTCTGATATCCTCCGAGTTTGCCTTCTTCAAGTCTCTTGCTCATGAGATATCTTTCAATAAGAATATAGATGGCCTCTCGGACCTTGCGTTTTCTCGTATTTTCTTCCGATTTCCAGTCGATTTTGTGTTCCTTTAGTGCAATATGTTCCGTTATTTCGTATCTTACAGCATCTGTGTTTCTGCAGAGTCTTTGGTGCTCCTTGATTCGTAGGTCGATTTTTATTCCTGTTTCAACAATATGCTTCTGTTGAGCTTACTTCCATTTCGAGTGAAAGTGTTGGGTGAAGAGATTCGAAGGTCGGTTTCACCAGAAGACGACGGCCGATTCCTCTTGACCAGCTGTCGATTGGCTTTATTTGAAGATTCATACTGACGCTGTTTCCGAGGTAATCTCCTTCTATTCCGGTGAAAAGATGCTAAGTTTTCGTCCGTCATATAACGGACATCATCAGAGCGAGGTACCATCGTCACAACAAAATTCAAGCTAACGAGTCGACAGCTGGTCAAGAGGAATCCGCCGTCGTCTTCTGGTGGAACCGATCTTCGAATCTCTTCATCCATCATTTTTATTTGAAATGGAAGTAAGCTCAACAATTATAAAACAAAAGATTCCTCGAAACCTAACTTTTCTTCGTAAATATACTCCTGCTCAAAGTTGCCGCATTTGATGCGATAAACTCCCGAGCAGTTCAGTTTGTCAAAACTCATCGTGTTGCGTCGGCAGACTGGTGAAAAGTGTTTTCTTCTCCTTTGTTATCACCTTGAGGTTCCATTTTATTAGTAACTGCCGCAATTTTGACTCAATTCAAAGGAGGGCAAGCATATCCACTTTTGGCCACCTTCCCGATTCCTGATCTTATTTTCATAAAATCTGAGATTAAATCTGCGCTTTATGACACCTACATTTTTTTGTATACATTCTCTGAAGTACCCGTTACTAGGGCAACTCCGAGTGAGTTTGTCCAACTCTTCGTCCCAAAACTCAGTGTCCCTTAGTCTTAAGCTTATGATGATCAAACTCCTTAGTATTCCGATCTTTAGTCTGTAGTTATGTTGAGACTAAAAATTAAGGATTATTTCCGCAAATGAATC